GAAATTGAAATTGAGGGGTATATAAAAAAAATTATAACCTAAGGATTTGTTCGAATCGAAACTATTTATCATCTGTGGAAACGACTTTCATGTCCCTATCCTAACTTTCAATTCATTATCTGCTGACATTCATTGGAACAAATAGAGGGTGGTTCAAGATACAGAACTCAGATCACTCTCGATCTTGAACACCCTTCATCTCTGTATAATCATTTTCGCTATACCACAACTGTAAAATTTTTATGGAATCAGATCATCAGGAAGAATTCAGACGTGCAATGAAATACAAAATGTTCTTTTAAAATATCAAATCTGCCACTAATTTCTGGAAGAAAATGGTGTGCTGACAAAATCGATAGGTCTTCGCGCATCGTTTTATATACTTCGCGCCCTGCTTCGCACATGGTGTCGTGGTAACGTAGGAAACTGAAAAAAAGTGTCACTTCGCAATTTGTGGTCAATGCGCGAACCTTGTCATTTTTGACGATTGTAGAAAATAGTTATTTTTTTACAAACGTCAAAAAATGACAAGGTTCGCGCATTGATAACAAATTGCGAAGTGACACTTTTTTTCAGTTTCCTACGTTACCATCCCAACTAGCATTTTCAGTCACAGGCACCATGGTTCAAGAAACTATTACCTATATTTAGTGATAATAACGTATTTATCACTTATTTCAGAACTTCATAGTATAAATGTCAGTGATAGTTATTGAGTGAGTGAAAATTACGTAGTTTTTACACTAGATAATAACTTCAAAGTGAGAAATTCTCATGGCTTATTACGAAGTAACTATTTCGAAACTGTCACTCCTCAAAACTACTCTTAAGGTTTCGGAACTTTGGATATATTATTACGGTAACGCTTACCACCCCAAGAAGGCTTCACAGTTGCAATTACTCTATGGTCACCAATTAGGTTTCTACGACGTTGTCGTTACTTGATCGATCACCTAATAATTTAGTCAATTCTTGGTGATATTTCAAGTAACATATTGGTAATTCCTACTCAAACAATTCCTTCATAGTTGAAACAACTTTTCGGTAATTATATTCAGTTGAAGTTACCAATACATAGGTTATCATAACTGACGAGTTCCAAAAGTAACTTTCTGATTCATTTTCGATTGGAAGCCATATTGATTGATGTGATAACCATTTGAACAGGAAATAATTTTGGTTTTTCTTGTTGATGAACATCATTTTATGAAGAATAATAGCATTCGTTCGATCACAAATTGCATAATAATGGAAATTAACATGATTTACGATGATTTTTGAAAAATAGCCGAATGAAATAAAACCATATTTTTGGTGAAATGAGCCGTATTTTGTGGGCGCATCTTGAATTTCGAGGCAAAATCATCACATTTATCGAAAAACTGAATGTTGTTCGAATTTTTCAAGTTCGAGTATCAATTATTTCGCGTGTTTGTCCTTGTATTATTTATTGAATGGTAAGGCATATTGGACTTGTTCATTTTTCGTGAATGTGAACTTCATGGATGAAATGAAGAATAATAAAGAGAGAAAATAATATTTTTATGAAGTGGAAAAGAAATAGAAAGTCAGGTAGGAAAATTTACTACATCTTTACGTAATTTCGACGTCGACGGGTCGTAAGCATTACGCAATTGTGTGAGTTCCCGCTACGTCGGCAAACCGTAATAATTACTCGTGATTTGTTCCCCATTTTGGTCGTAAATACGTAGTAACGACGTAATTATAACGTAACCGCAACTAGTAAATATTACTTAATAGTCGACCCAATAGTCGTAATTACGTAATCGCGACTATAAATGCTAGTTGGGATGATTCCTTGCACAAAACAATGCGCGAAGTAAAACAGTGCGCGAAGTACCTACTTCGCGCATTGTTATAAAAAATATTTGAGATATTCATATTTCAACTTTATGGTCCTCAATCGAGCAGACATTCACAAAATCATTTATTTCTGAATGTTCAACAATTACTTTGTTTTTTCTCTTGGAGCGCACGAAAGGAAATTCCTATTACGTTCGTGGAACATCGTGCGTACCTAGGGAGGATAGGGGGAGGCCTTTTAAGCCAGTTCAACACTATTTTTCATATCAAGCTGAGCATATTTTTACTTTAAAACTATATTTTTGACGTTTGTAGAAAAAATGTTGTTTGCAACTCGAGCGCGAAATACTTTGGTCATCTCGACTATTTTTTTAACTCGGCTACGCCTCGTTAAAAAAATCAGATCTCGATCACCAATGTAGCATTTCGCGCTCTAGATACAGAAATAACTATTTTGTATCTAGAGCGCGAAATGATACTTTGGTGATCGTGATCTGATTTTTTACATTCTGGATCTATCTCGGGATCTATTCTGAATATAGCTCGAGATGACGAATATATTTCAATAAAAAAATAGAAGAATAAAACGAGTTGGTGTCGTTATTGACTACCTCTATGTCATAACAAATTAGGAACTAACGAAACTACTATAAACTGTAGTCAATATAACGATAAGGAATATCGAGATCAAAAATCGATACAAGTGAAACTGGATAAGAAGAACATACATAACCACAAAATCAGATCAGCTCTCGCGGTGTGCCTGTCAGTATTGGGACGGGCTCTAAGTCTTATGCGCTGTTTCAAGATATAATCTGCTTCTTTTCCTAGATAATAAGTCAGAATTATGGAGGAACGGATTCATTTTCAAAAAATGACTGACTTATTATGATCATCATTTTGTGAGATAGAGAAAATGAAAGATCATAGATATTTTCGCAAAATACATATAATTCACCTCAATTGGTTATCAACTTTATGCATCGAATGTGAGATTCATGAAGAATATTCATTATGCTCTAGAAACCTCAATAACAGAGACTTCCCCATAACATTGAACAGGGTGGGCCAAATTGATGACTTTCAAAGCCAAAGTCCTATTCTCCAACCAGATAGAAAAAAACTGCTGTCGGTGCCTGGCGGTCGATTCTCAAACTGCATATCAATATCTGTGCCCCTTTCGAAGTTACAAGGTGTTTTCCGGAAATGCGCATTTTTGAAAAGTGGCGACAAATATTTTTTTTTACAAGACTTGTATGTTATCATGAAAATAACTGCACATCATCGAGTTTGTGATAACAATCATTCCTCAGGCACTGACATTGGCCTTCCCATATCTTGTGAATATAACTTGTTCTTCTTGAAGAAAAAGTTTCATTTCTTGATTTTCGATCCCACCCAAAACTGTTTCATTTTGTCTATTTCGTCAGAGCAGATAATTATCATTAATTTACTGCAAGATTTGGAATAATCTCCCATGATGACAGGAAGATAATAATAGGACCTGTTGAACAAATTCTCTGAGACAGTAAGAAAAAAAAAAGGAAGTATCTAGTATACAAATATTATTATCATAGATTAATGATTCCCATTTCATGTTAACACTGGGTGTCCCATGTTATCGTATAAGTAGCGGCAAAAATTCGCTTATTCGACAAGATGATCAAAAAATAGTAAAAATGCTTCAAATGACATCAAAGTACTTTCTTAATGGCTGAAAAAAAATTTATGAATTGAACAGCCCCCTGGTAGCTACCCCTCAATTCTTATTGAATGGACCCCCTGTATATTGTCATTGAAATTATCCTATCATCCTATTTTGGAAGAGAACGATAGCACATCGGTACTCTGTATTCCGTTTATTAATAACAACAGGAACATTGAAATTCTTTGACCTTATTTACGTTACATCGATTGAGAATTGCCTCCTCCCATGTTTGTGAAAATCTCTCACAATGAGAGTAAATTAATTATTACACTAAGTAGGTACCGTCTGAAATAATTGATGTTCTTTCAATTCAAGAATTCAATCCATACTTCTCATTTGTGAACTTTTTGGACACATGGGTGAGAGCAATTTTTCATTTGAGTAACTCAAAAAAGTCACAAAATGCTAATGTTTTGTTGTCATCAATGAACAAAACACCAAGTATGTGCTATATCGGTGTATTACAAATAGATTGACACGCAATTTCCAGGGACAATTTGCTATTCGAAAATAAAAACTGCTTAGTATCTACCATCAGGGGGCTGCCAAATATATCACATTCTTCATAAGCCATTGGGAAAGTTATTTAATGCCATTCAATGCAGTTTTTCAATGTTTTTGATATCTTGATAACGTGGGACACCCAGTATTTGAATCATAAAGGCTATTAAAAAAACAACTCAATTCTCTTGTTGGAATATTTATCAATCAATAATTATTCAGGTAATGTTTGTGATTACTTTAGGAGCTCGCAATTTGAAATGCTCGATCTTATTACGTCCAGGATATCCTTGGATGCACGCAGAAAGAAATACTTATTTATTGCCTGTTATAGATAACCTCAAGCATTCGCAATAATGAGGAATATTTCAAATTTGAGGCGAGATCTCCACGATTCCTCTCGGACGAGTCCAGAGAGTATTTTCCATGGTGACAGTCTAAAGTGATGTTTGGCACCTCGCAGGAGGATTTCGCATTTTGATCCTAAAGATAACTACTTAGAGATATCGCGGAGAATTCTGTGTTACCTGGGTGAGGATCAATTTTCATGACAAACACAATGCTTTAGAAATGTTTTTATGTACATCAAGAAGTTTTCACAAAAAAATTAGTTTCAGCCACTTTTCAATAATTCATATTTTCGGAAAACACCTTATTATAACTCTGAAACTAAGATAGATATCGATATGCAGTTCCTACCATTGAGTTTGTTATGTGAATTGACCCCTCGTACAACTCGAACATTTTGGAGGGGTTGTTTTGTAGCGGGTTGAGAGATGGTTGAAAAGTTTCATGTTAAGGATACGTTTTTCAAAAATAAAAATCGACATGAACAAGGATTTTTCTAAATATATTTCGGTTATGGATATACTGATTTCAAGCCATCATACGTTTCCACACTGTATACCTTCACCACAAGAAACATCAATATCATTTTCTATAGATGCTAAAACTCCTATGAACTCACCTGGAGAAAATTTCATTGTTACTTCAACTGATGTGTCTTTTCTCAGCCTACATGGGGGTTTTCTACATCCTCCTATTGCTATGCGACTGCTGAGATTCTCGATGGATTTTTCTGTAAGAAATACATACATATATTTCAATTCAATGCATACCCTAACTATCGAGATCACAATTATTATACATATAAATAGTATCGGAACAAAAGTAGGTAGCCATAAATCATAACATATAGCCGACATACTTTGACACGCAATAATAAAAACTGATGACTATCGAAAAGCAATACTTATACAGATATTGAATAACCTCTTTAAGAGAATTTTCAACTACACAAGAATATTTTGATATGGTAATGACATAGAGAAGTACACAAAATAGCTGCTAAAGATATAGGCAGCCTAGTTGGGCAATAATTCTAAAGTCAATGTCAATAAATGAACAACATTTCATATTCCGATCTTGAATTTTCAGAAGTTCCAGAATTTGCCGTTTTCGACTGCTAATACACTGACTTATACACTGCCCCAGTTTCATATGTAATACAACAAGTGTATTGATGATTATCGAAACACAAATCCCTTCGATTTTTGTGAAACAAATCATGTTGCTTGGCAGCGAGTATTGTGATTCCATTACGAACTAGATAATGTTACATTCTACAGGGTTATTGTAATTTCATGAAGAAAGCACAAAAAAATTGCTGCACTCGGTATTCATAAAAAAGGGTTTTCAGCGGATAAGATCTGCACGCTAATATTCATAGAAACATAGCCTGTCATTCGAAACGAAAGACGTCCGGATAAGTAGTTTTGACGAAGATGTCAAACTTCTGGATACTTTTTGGTGGTGCGCTAATTTTTTGGGGAAGTGTATATGATGTATATGATATGATGTTATACATCTTCTGTTCAGGGAAAAGCATGCAAAGAGGAATACATTGAATTTCAAGATTCGAGATCGAATTGCAGTCAGCTATGTAGAGAAATTCATCGCACGTACATACATGGACAACACAGAATATTTAGTAACACAAACTGTTCAACCTTTTTAAAAATTTGTGAACTTTAGGAGGCAACCTTATGATATACCTATTTCTATGGAGTATGATGATTCAATTCTCAAGAAGAGAAGAGCTATTTTTCGTCATTTCCAAATCATTTTTCATCAGTATTCAAACCAGCAGCTATAAAATCCGATGATAGCAAAAGCAATAATCTGAATTGTATTCCTGTTAGTATTGCAGGAGTATTTCAATGTTTCGTTAATCGATTTCTGAGTTCGATGTTAGCTTATCAAACTAGTATCAGTCAACATAGATGCCAAGACGGACGATCTACTTGTATTAATTTTATGGTATATATCGACTATATTGTTTCTGCTTCAGAAAAGGGTCTACAGGTTAATTATGTTTATACTGATATATCTCAAGCATTTGATGAAGTGTGTCATGCAATTCCCATTGGAAAGCTATTATATTTTTGCATATATGATCACTTTTAGATTGGTCAGACACTCACTTATCTGATCGTACTTTATGTGTCGAATAGAATGAAACAATTTCTGATGAATATTTCGCTACTTCAGTTATGCCGCAAGGCTCTTACTTGGGTCCTTTCTTGCTCATTATATACATCAATTACATTGTGAAGCAGATATATGACTGCGAATCTTCAATATTTGTTGAAGACGTAGAAAAAATTCGTATTTTTTGAAACCCAAAAGAGTATACCGTACTGCAAAATAGTTGGAATAGATTCTCAAGTAGCTGTCGGAAGCATAAAATGTGTATTAATCCTCAGAAATATAAAGTGATCAGTATTCATTCAAACAGTTCAAACAGTCACCTCCAAGTACGTTCTTGACAATACCGAAATTGGAAAAATCAGAACGATAAGAGATCTATGAGTTATTTTTTCTTCATGAGTGAGGTCTCACCTTGAATATGATTCAATGATTTGGTGCCCTTCTGCTCTTGTTCATCACAAGATACTTGAAAGAGTACAACGCAGAATGTTTATATTTCGTACTGAAAATTTCAGTTGTTACAGTATAGCACGTGAAAACTAACAAAATGATGAACCAGATAGCGTCGTTCTATTTTTCGTGTAAACATCCACTGCTATAATTGAGGCAGCCTAGTATGGTACAGAACTTGATAATTTATGTATCGTTGATTATTTTCTTGAAGCAATTCGCATGATCGTTGAAGACGAATCTCTTGAAATTTTCAAGCGAAAGCAGTCATCATGTTTTTATTGTTATACATATAGTGAAATACTGATAATGACATATCGATTTCTTAGTCTCATCCCATTGTTTTTTACAACAGCAGCAAAAGCACGGTCAGCAGTAAAAAATGATGTATGTGCTCACAATACAGTTCTTGATAACGGAATTTATATGTTTCAGCATGTCCATTCCAAATCGCCGTCATAGATCTAAGTCGCCGTTGAAAAATATTTATTGAGGCACGATACAAATAAAAGGTATCTATTTTTCGAATGCCATCAATAATATTCCAGTTGGTATTGATGATAAAATCATCTCACTAGAGAAGTGCCACACATGGGTTAAAATGAAATATTACCTCCACAAAAGAGCGCCGAAATTCTGAGGAACATCTCAAATTTTCATAGTACCGATTTCTTCATCAAATTACCGATTCAATAATGTGCTATAGGTTTATATATGCACTGTCTTTATTCTATTTCATTGTATATTTGCTGACGAAGTATAGTAGTACCTATTCGAATATAATTTCATTTCTGGAATTCTGTATCACGATCACGAATCAACATCTTCATAGAGAGAAATTCGGAGAATTTTTGAACGGCAGGATGGTCTATACAGGATGAACATTTGAAAACGAGGAGCACTCTATACAGTGTGTCCCACTTACCATGCTCACCATGGGTATCTTTTTAACGGTGAGAGATATGAGGTCGGTTAAAAGACACCAAATGTGAAGTTTGTCAAGGCCAACTATAATGTGAAAAAATTTTTCGATAAAATCTATTCGTTTTTGTTTTATAAGCAGAAAACAGATTTTGATCATTTTCATGTCTCCTCCGTAACTTATTCATTTATGAAAATATTCGAATAGGAGTTTCACATTCTCATAGCAGTTTTTCGAAGTGATTTCGAAAAAATTATGAAATTTATACCAACTCTTCTAGAATTTGAGATATCAGCACCAACTATAGTTTTTCAAATGTAGGTCATAGCTCACTACGACTTTGTTACAAATAACTTTTTTTTTCTTTTACAGATGATATGTCGCAGTAATATTTTTGTGTTGATAACAACGGAGTTATCGTCATTTATACAAAAACAAGAAATTATTTGGAAGCCGCCATCTTGATTTTATAAATTTTCGAAAGAAAATCATGATCTCCGACCTCAGAAACCCCTACTCACCAATTTAAAATGGAATCGGACCAAATCTTGTCCACCATCTTGGAGCAGCCATTTTTTTTAATTTTAACAAAAATTCCATGATGTATTGTCACCGAAATCATGTACACCTGCCAAATTTCAAGTTAATAGGAGTTATGGAATTTTCGTTGAAATTAAAAAAAATGGCTGCTCGAAGATGGCGGACAAGATTTGGTCCGATTTCATTCAAAATTGGTGAGTGAGGGTTTTCGAGGTCGGAGATCATGATTTTTTTGTAAAAATTTATAAATTCAAGATGGCGGCTTCCAAATAATTTTTTGTTTTTGTATAAATGACGATAACTCCGTTGTTATCAACACAAAACTATTACTGCGAGATATCATCTGTAAGATAAAGAAAAGTTATTTGTAACTAAGTCATAGTGAGCTGTGACCTACATTTAAAAAACTAAAGATGATGCTGTTATCTCAAATTCTAGAAGAGTTGGTATAAATTTCATAATTTTTTCGAAATCACTTCGAAAAACTGCAATGAGAATGAAAAATTTCTATTCAAATATTTTCATGAATAAACAAGTTACGGAAGAGACATGGAAATGATCAAAATCTGTTTCTTGCGTATATAAAACAAAAACGATGCAAATACTGATGTTCATTATATTTTTCTATTATCGAACAATTGTAATTACACAAGTTCTACACGTGAACATATTGGTTATTTTGTTTAGATCTATAGTTACATGAATGAAATAATTGTTTCACCATGAAAAAAAACTGCGATGAACACACACCGGTCACAGGGACAGCAACGTCATTCTTGATGGTATCAATTTGTGGCGTTCTCTGTTCGGGGCGCGAGCATTATAGGCGTAGACGTCACGTGCATAAATCCAGTATACGTTCCTGAATTTTACTTCAACTCTTGTAGTTTCACGTTATTCCCAAGGAGAAAAGCAGTGTAATTGGGATTCGCATAGTGAAATGACAGTATTACAATTGATTATTTATTAACGAACTGGAATTTAAGTGGTAAAATTATAAAAACCAGAAAAGCACGATAGCGCTGAAGGGACATAGTAAGATATTCCTTCAACCTTCCAGAAGTCGCATGAATATAAAACGTGGGTTTTCTGAAATATACTTCATTCCCTCATTCCGCCGCACTCAGTACCTTCCTAAAATGACGACCTTAGTACAGTCGCATTCGAAAAAAAAGTACAAGTATATTACAGAGAGGAATTAACGTCATCCTATTCTGCATAAAACGGCCTATCGGGAATGATTGTTCACCAAATGTTGACAGTAAAGTTTTCATAGGTTCTTGAAAACACGAAGATTGGCTGAGCCAGTTTTACACAACTAGAACTAGGATCCCGAAATCCTCTCTTTTCAATACTTGTAATTCCTCACAATTCCTCGAAATTCCTATAATTCACATCCATTTCCTTCATTTTCTCCTCAATTCCTCGCATTTCCTCAAAATGCCTCAATTTCCCATGCATTTCCTACATCCACAATTCATTTCGTAAACATTCCTCTAAGTTTTCGCATTTCCCCGAGATTCCTCTATTTCCCTGTTGTTTCCTTTCATTCAAAAATACCAAAATCAGAGGTCAAGGGCGCACTTAATTTAATAAATTTCTTATTGTAATTCCATCCATTACCGTTTCATAGGTATATTTTGGAAATTATTCATGAATCTCTTTTGAGTTTAAAGAATTTAATAGTTTTTTGTAGCACGACTTCAACAGTTTGAAGAAAATACAATTTTTAAATAACAATCTCATGTAAACATGCCCAGATAGCACACACTCGCCTAAGGGCATCCTCAATGTGTCGCCAAACGCCTGGAGAGGACGTTCTATTTTCTACAACCTAAGAACATCATCAGGCGTGAATTTTAGCGCTGTTATTGTCCTAAATGAGTTCTTCCAGTGACAGCCTGAGGATGTAAAAAAATTCGTGCCTACGGACGTCTTCAGATGACATTCCATGAAATAACGTGTCATCGAAGACGAAAGGAAGAAAAAGAAGAACTAGAAGTGAGGTTATGTCTCATGATAGTCATAATTTGTTCAAGATACATCATAATATATTAATGATTATATCAAAATTATTAGAGTATTCATTGAATGCCTTCATCAAATTTCTATTTCACAAAATGATTGCGAGAAGAACTTATTGCACAGAATTAAAAGATAACAATAACAAAAGGATGATAATCTCTGTTGATGACATTTCTCTCAGGTAGCAAGAAACAATGGTGAGTATACTAAATAGAATCATTGATAGTACCGGACATGAAATATTGATACATTCATATATACATTATTTATTGTTTCAGGAGGTTATTGAGAACACAAACTTGATGGTATCATCATAGCAAACATGTTTTATTCCAAGATAGCTTTGCTTCTTCGGAATCTATAAAATATTGTATGGAAGCTTGAACTTTCAGTATGAATTCAATAAAGGTAGGTACCTGAATCAAATCATTGATATAGTAGGTACTGGACATGAAATGTTAATAGGTTAATTATTTGTTTCAGAAGTTATTGAGAACACAAGATTGATGATGTCATCAGAGCAGAGATGTTTCATTCCAAGATATTTTGGCTTCTTCGAAATCTATGTGAGATTTCGTATGCATGTTTGCACTTTCAGTATATTCAATAAAGGTAGGTACCTAAATCAAATCATTGATATAGTGAGGACTGAAACATGAAATATTAATAGGTAGGTACATTATTTGTTTCAGGAGGTTATTGATAACACAAAATGATGATATCATCAGAGCAGAGATATTTTATTCCAAAATATTTTGGCTTCTTTGGAAATTATGAAAGATTGTACATATGCAGACTTGAACTTTCAGTAGATTCAATAATGGTTGGTACCTATAACTACATAAATCATATATCATTGATAGTAAGTACTGGACATGAAATATCAATACATTGTTTGTTTCAGAAGGTTATGCAAAACACAAACCTGATGATATTTTCATTCCAAGATAGTTTTGCTTCTTCAGAATATATAAAATATTGCATGAAGGCTTCAACTTCCAGTTGATTATTCTGCATCAGGAATGTCCAGAGTTCAGAAATCAAAAACAACATAGAGAAATATAACTATCAATAGGCAATAACATTTTTCAGAATAAGTTATAAATAATAGAATGTAAGTTTTTCATTTGGTTTTTCATTTGAATCTATTATAAATAGAGGGAAATTTTGCAAATATCATGAGATCCATATTATTTTGAAGAAATTATCATTTGCATAATACAAGGTGAGTCAATACTGTGTTATCCTTGTATATAAGCCAAACCATCAGATAAATAGAGAAAATTCAAGTACAACAGTGATAGGGTTTCATGAGAACTTTCACATTAAATTGTTTTCATATATATCTGTAGGGTGTTCGAATTCCAAGATATATTGACTGATGATTGTTTTTTTTTCCAAATGGGACACCCTGTATACTATTGCATTTTTAGGTTCTTCCTGAAGAGCTGATTCCATCAATGTATCACACTTGGGGTCTAGCGGTAATGATTACAGAGATATAGGGTGTTCAAAAACAAGATTTTTCAATTTTAGGATTTTTTTTGTGGAAACTATTCAATATTGGTCAAAACGGCTCACATATCCTTATAAACTTTCGATTTACTATCTACTGACATTCAATCGGAACAAATAGAGGGTGGGTTAACATTCAGAATACTGATTAGCTTATTGTATCTGTTCCAAATAAATATCAGTAGATAGCTAATCAGAAGTTATGACAGGAACATGTGAGCCGTTTTGACCATTAATAAATAGTTTCCAGACAAAAAATCCTACATTTGAAGAATCTCAATTGTCAACACCCTATATCTCTGTAATAATTCCCACTAGACACCAAGTGTGATGCATTGATGGAATCAACTCTCCAGGGAAAACTCAAAAATGCGATAATATACAAGGTGTTCCATTGAAAAAAACCAATCATCAACCGATATCTTGGAATTCGAACACCCTATAGATATGAAAACAACTTCAGGTGATTGTTCTTATGAAACCCTATTACTGTTGTACTTGAATTTTCATCTTATATATCTGACGGTTTGGCTAATATCGGAGGAGAACACACTATAGTGACTCATTCTGTATAGGAATAATATTCTTCCATGAATCTTGAACCTCCTTGAAAAATCATCAAAAATCGCCTCAAGTTGTCACCATGATGTCCTGAGGTTGTCTCAAAAGATTTTAAAGGGATGTTCTGAGACGTTATTAGTATGTAGAGAATGGTAACAGGAGGACGTCTTGAGAATGTCCTCAGGCTCGCTCTCGACGTCCTGAGGACATGATTGTGAACGCCTCAGAAGGGCCTCAAAAGGAATTTGTGCTATCTGGGTGAATGTGCGCTGAAGCCTATTTCTCTATATACTTTCTATATACTCTGTTCTGCCACTGAGTTTCATTAACACATCTTGAGAAAGCTTTTGATCATTCCAAGCCTCCTAGTCAGTTATTAAGAGAAGTCAAATATAGTGTGATTGAAAAAAAAAGATTTCTCACAATTAAATTATTTTTGCATTCATCTCGAGATCCATAGAGTTTTTGAAAAAATTTAAGAAGAGCAAAACTGTTCCAAATGAAACAGAGAATCTGAATCAATATTTCCCAACGATCAACTACCGACAGACTTTTGTGATTACACCTTAAGGAGAGAAATTAAGCTTCACTTCCGATATTGAATTGAAACCTCGATTGAACCCAAAACCAGCAAGCGGACGCGGATTAGAATATTGACGCTTCGTCCACGCGGCTACCTGGCCACTATCATTCTACTACTCATTTCCTAGTAGTTTTAATGATTTTTGTAGGGACCCAATTTTGACAAAATCATCATAATCTTCGACCCCGAAAACCCCCAGATACCAATTTTGAATAGAATCTATTTTCATCATGGTTCGACCTGTCGTCATCTCGGACACTAATAAATAGACAGCACACTAGATTAGGCAGCGAACGAGTGATAATTGCGTCTTGTCCACTGAGCTGAGGTCCCCAATTTCTCTGAAATGCCCCGAAATTTCTTATTCATTTCCTCGAAATTCCCCTAAATTCCTCGAAATTCCCCGAAATTCCCCGAAATTCCCCAAAATTCATCGAAATTCCTCCATTTCCTCGTTATTTCCCACGAAGTGTACGAAAAATTCCTCTGTGGTTAACCCCTCGGTGAAATACCATTGAATCTGCAATTTTGTTATATAATAAAATGAACCAGTTGAGTGGTTTACCGTGGTTCACTTATCAGGAATTTGACCGATGACTTTGCGCAGTGTTTCTACTGTTCGTGAAGTGAATTTCTTCATCTCAAACTATTGGGCAATTCATGCATTGCTTACTCGATTTTCAACAGTTGATGATATCAGTATAATTGTTGTGATGAAACGGATAATGATGACAGTAATAATTATATCCATCTTCAGCTATAGAGGTAACAAAGCAATTGCGAAGAGATATAGAAGTATGCGATGTATGGAGATGTCTCAATGGACCGAAGAGATATCTTGACTTGATATGAACATTATAGTAACTGCCTTGTACCTACTGAAATCTGAATGTTTCTTATGCAACATCTATTCATTTCATAATCGTGCTACTTTGAAATATATACTCACCGAAACCAGGACATTCCTGGACTTCCGTAGCCAATCCAACAGCGATGACACTAAGAACCACTAAGAAAACTTTCATCATTACAACAGTTCCTACACGAATCCACAAAAACCTAGTCCGGAAAAATCGTCACCTTCGGGCCGACTAATACCAAGACTAGCTCACAGACTATGGCGCGACTCTCTCTCGAAGTATGTTCTTAAATACGAGAAGTGTTTGTAACCTCCGGTAGATTGGTTCACGTGCGATCTGTTATGGTTAACTGGACTTCCGAATCCAACGCTAATTGGTATGCGATTGATGTTGCTGGGAAGGTGAACTCAAGTTTCATTGTGTTGCACATTAATAGGTGGGGTGTGTAGATGATCAACCTTTGGTCACCATCGGCTTTTGCCAAATCATAATTAATTATTGCTTATGGCTGCAGAAGCGAAGCCAACTGTCGATTTTAAAAACACTTCTCATGGTCGCAAAAAAGAGATACGATCGCAAAACAGTTTCTTGACATCATAAAAGTAAGTGAAGAGAGAATTGTTGGTTGGCTGCAATCTTGTTGATGTCGCAGTTAATCAATAAACAGAACACCATATTTTTTTACAAAGCAGGGATCCGATGTTGATGTTGATGAATTTGCAATCAAAGGTCATCGATTGATGCATGAACAGATTCACTAGTGATACCTCGCCAGTACTCATTCTTATTTCCACACTTGTGTCCCATAAGTAGTAAATTAATGAATGATCCTTGTTTGACGGCCTAGTGAACTATGAAGTTTGATTGAGTCTGGTGTATCCTGATCAGGGGTGGGAAATGTATGGATTTATCGATAATTATCGTTAATATAGATAACATAGATATATCGATAGTATCTATAATAGTAATACTATCGATAATATTTTTTTCTCAAACTCACAAATTACCACATCATTACTGAATGAAAAGATTCCTGTTTCACTACTCTGTATGAGCGAATAATATATTGTATGGATACTATAAATTATTTTCGATATTTTGGATACTAAGTTCTTATTCTATCGATTTCTCTTCACGTTTATGTTTTGTCCAGCATATTTTTGGATGAATCATTTTGATGCAACTATCTTTATTATAATTATTTCTCGCGCTCCAGCTTTATTCCTCTTTATTCTTAAGATGCTTTGATGTTCTTTTTCATAACATTCATATTCTGATGAATCAGGATTATTGAATATTATTATCATAATATCGATAATTTTCGATAATTTTTAAAATTCCTGTTTGATTATTATCGTCATCGCCCACTCCATTAGTTCATTCCAACTAGGAAGACAAAATCGAAAATCATAGGAAAGCAATGACATTTCGCTTCTATTGGTTGATATTGAAGATATAATATAAGAATGGTATTCACGACCTAGCCACATCATAATATTCCGAATATTTGTCGTATTTTCTCATGTTTCAATAAATACAGAGATTATGGGTCATATAGCACCACCTAATATCTTCTTTTGGAAATGTTAGTATATTCCGCTTGCTATCCTTGACACGCCCAATGTTTCCTTTCGTTCGTCATAATTATGAGTATGAGAGGCAAGTAATGAGAAAATATCGACAATATCGATAATACTGTCTGTAGGTTAATCGAGGAGGTGTTACATTCATTATTCCAGATTATTTGGGATTCTTTCTCCTCGTCTTCTATAAAATAAAATATCAATATTATTTCAATATATGTGTAGTGAAGAAGATAAGAGAAGAGTCGATGCTCTGTCTATATACCTCAATTCCTCTTCTCCATACCTTATTCAATACAAATTGTCACTGACAAGCTAGTTAATTATTGTTTTAGGCTCTCTAATAAGAAAATTCTTCAAACGCAGTGATATTTTGGTGCAAATCATCTGATTTGTCCTCACTACACGTATTTAATAATAATGATATTTCATTTTATAAAGACGAGGAGAGAAAATCCCAAATAATCTGGAATAATGAATATCGATAATACCCATAATATCGATAATTTCGATAATATCCATGATTATATCTATGTATTTTTATTTTTGATTGATCAACTCCTCCACAGAAATAGTACATTATACATCGAGAGACAGAGATGCAAGATTTTTTCCAAGGTGCGATTTATAGCTCGAGGACGAAGCCCGAGAGTACTAAGCACCGAGGGGGAAATAGTATCATGTCCAAGGGTGTCTATACTATTCTATCTACTCACTGCATCGAAAGTAAGCGTTTGCTTCCGCATTTGAGGACACACACCTGTCAATTCACTCCCACGAGAGTAAACAGAATTTCACCTCCCGTGGGAGGTAAAATAAATCGGCTTCAGCTTGCTTCCTTGGTAGAGATACACGTATAAGATCTGTGCTACCCAAGTAACTAACCAGTGTCTCCTTCACGACTATGGAACAAATGACAATTTCCATTCCAAACTCTAATACACTCATACATTTCCTCATTTTCCAAACTCACTCAATCGAAAGTCGAAACTTTGAAAAGAATGCAATATCACCATGAACAAATTCAATATTAACAAAGTGTCAAATTGATTTTTGTTGAGATTCAAATATACTGTCAATAATTGTCCATGGCATACTCTGTGGGCGCATACTATACATACTTTTGTTTTCTTAGATCATGTAACACATTGATTTGGATCGAGACTCTAGAGATAGACCGCTTGCAGCACAATTTTGAGAACGACGCTCTCGAATATATGCGTTTGTGGATAAAAGCATATATATATCTAGGGAGCAAAAGTTCATTTCCTCCCATGTTTGTTCAATGCCCCACGCGTCACACGCGAGAGGAAATGAATACCTTTGCTCCCTCGATATATAAATAGCTATTCTACGCTGGCGAAAACACGAAAATTGAGAAAGAATGAAAATTTGGTCAAAGTGTTTCGTCATTATTAGTAGTAGTATAGTTTGTGGAATTCGTATCTTGACAACATGCACCCTGTTGACAACCCATGGTGACAGCAAATATCAAACTAAAATTATGAAAACAGCTTTGAAATTGATTAACGGTTATGGAACAAGAAATCGAGGAAAAACCCCAAGGAGCTATTCATACTGATGCTTCTGCAGTGAACCTTTACTTGCTACCAGTGAGATTTAGGAATCTGTATGATGCAGCTTATACTCGCTTCAGAGGAGAGGGTTCCGAAAAGAAAGCTCAGAGCTACACGGAAAATGTAAAATTGGTATAAACTCCTTAGGGAGAAAATATATCACATTATCCCCCTAGGTGATGATACGAGACTTATATCCCTCTTTTGTTATCAGAGAAACTAACTACCACTTCTGCCGGCGTGAAATAGTTATTTATTATACAAGGGAAAAAAGTAGTAGATTTTAGCTCCAGGTTGTGTTGTCTCCCGACGCGTAGCGGAGGGAGACAAAAACCCGTGAGCTAAAATCTAATATTTTTCCCGTGTATAATACACTATTTTTTTCTGTGACAGAAGGAATGACGAATCGATATTGAGAAGATATTACATTATTTCGAAATCTGAAAATTATCGACGTGAAATTTCAAGTTTTTAACAGTAGGGACACCTGCGTTTTATAGACATCTTTGTCATTCTTTTGAAGTAATCAAATATCTGATGTCACTTCTGTCAGTTAAATTCTGTGATTTTATTTTAAAAAATTGCGAATTCAGTAGTTGTTTAGTAATATACGAAACCGCGAAGTCGAATGGAAGATAAAAGGACTTGCAGTTCTTTCTCGGAGACGGTATTATTGACTCTTTTTTCGGAACTATAGCACAACAAAAGCCATTAACAGAGAATATATATGTGATATATATATCCGGGAAAGAAGTACTCACTTTTTTCCCACGGAAAAAAAGTAATTTATGAAAAGTGACATTTTATAACCTGCCAACAGAGATGAAATGCCAAACTTTTTTCCCGTCACAGAAAAAAAGCCATTTCACGTTGACGTGAGTCATTTTGACATCGATTGAGAAGGATGCCATTTTTTACCGCTGTAAAAATGCTTGTTGCACCTCAAAACCATACTCCATCTAGTATGCGAGCGTCACAATGTCTGTCATATGACGTATGATTGTTGGTATTGTTCAAACGAGAATTCGTAAAATGAGCCGTTATGTGAGAATGTCGTGTAAATAAACCACAATCAATATAAAAAAAATCTATTCCGCGAACTACCAGAAACACGATATCATCAAGAGGTATTCATTGTTGTTCATTCATATATAGTCATTGATTCATCTTGCCAAACAATAGTCGAGTTTTTTTCATTGGAAAAATTTCCTCATTACCTCAAAAATGCTCGACCTGCGGCCTCGCAAGTTTTTCATGACAGTTTTCCTCATGAGCTTACTGATTGGCAATCCGATAAAAGAAAGCTCTTGTTGTTTCAACTGTAGATGATAATTTTCGAAATTTCCGTTTATCAATGATTGTTATCCCACACTCTTACAGTCCATTCCAACGAAGAAGACATCATTGAAAGTCACAGGAACTCGTTGACATTTGCGAATATTTTCGTAATCGCTTGAAACAATCCCATCGAAGTGCTAGTATATCGTTAAATTCTTTATGATGATCCCTTACCGATTGTGGGGTAATATACAGGGTGTTACATTTGGGAATCAAAGGTGATGAAAGAGTATCAGATATTACAAAATTTCACATATCCCGAATCCTACACCCCTGTCAAATTTCAATATCATACCTTCGGAACTATCTGGAAACCATGACTTGTATTAAAACTTCAATGATACCCGGTATGTTTTGAAATATACAACACATTGTATAATGATACCGTTGCGCAGCATAAGCTGAAATTCTATCGAAGTTGATTGTATGTTGGTTGAACAAATCAGAATGCAATATATTGTGAAAAATTTCATATTTCGAAACTGAATCCAGAACAATTTCGAGAAAACCCATTATGCTTCATCTCATCGCCCTTGATAGAACCTAAAAAAATCTCTACCAAAGTCTCGAAAGAAATCGAAAATTGGTTGATTCAATCCAAAGTTATGACCCTTCGAAAATTTTTGCTGGCCTCACTTCATATGTGGGTTAGTTCAGTTCGTCTTCAGAATGGCAAAGCTTTGGATTTCTCTGTCAATAAAAGTGTTGCCATGAACTTATTACCTATAAAAGTTCTAAACAATTCCAACACCTACCTTCTTACCATATCCTCCTTAGGTACACACAATTCTCTTCAAACATAATAGGGATTTCCTTGCGTTGGGTGCAACCTCTCCCGCAAATTTGCAGACGATACTACTCTCCACACAGCTTGTCCCATTTCTTCTCAGGAAACTGAAATCTCAATACGAAGTCAGGTCAACGGTGTCAATGACGATCTTGCTGAGATCATAGCTTGGGAAACCAA